AAATTGGGGTGTCCCCAAATGTCCCCAAATTGGGCTGTCCCCAAGTGTCCCTGAACCCAGTTGTCCCCAAATGGGGGTGACCCCGTGTCCCCCAATGTCCCCAACATCCCCCATGTCCCCAATGTCCCCACTGTCCCCCAATGTCCCCCATGTCCCGAATGTCCATGGTGTCCCCAACGTCCCCTGATGTTCCCACTGTCCCCCTGTGCCCAGTGTCCTCCCATGTCCCCAGTGTCCCCAACATCGCCAACATCCCCAACATCCCTGATGGCCCCAATGTCCCCAACATCCCCAATGTCCCCAACGTCCCCAACATCCCCGATGTCCCCAATGTCCCCAATGTCCCCCATGTCCCTGATGTCCCCAACATCCCTGATATCCCCAATGTCCCCTGATGTCCCCAATGTCTCCAATGTCCCCGATGTCCCCAACGTCCCCAGTGTCCTCAACATCCCCAACGTCCCCAACATCCCTGATGTCCCCAACATCCCCCATGTCCCTGATGTCCCCAATGTCCCCAACATCCCTGATGTCCCCAATGTCCCCAACGTCCCCAATGTCCCCAACATCTCCCATGTCCCCAACGTCCCCGATGTCCCCCGATGACCCTGATGTCCCCCGTGTCCCCAACATCCCTGGTGTCCCCAACGTCCTCAGTGTCCCCAGTGTCCCCAACATCGCCAACATCCCTGATGTCCCCGATGTCTCCGACATCCCCAACATCCCTGGTGTCCCCAATGTCCCCCATATCCCCAATGTCCCTGATGTCCCCAACATCCCCGATGTCCCCAACGTCCCCAACATCCCCCGTGGCCCCGACGTCCCCAATGTCCCCGATGTCCCCGACATCCCCAACATCCCTGGTGTCCCCAATGTCCCCCATATCCCCAATGTCCCTGATGTCCCCAACATCCCCGATGTCCCCAACGTCCCCAACATCCCCCGTGGCCCCGACGTCCCCAATGTCCCCGATGTCCCCGTGTCCCCGCAGGCACTGGCTGGCTGAGGCCTACCCCCGCTTCGCTGTCCCCTACTTCGTCTACGACGTCTACGCTATGTTCCTGTGTCACTGTCACCGGGGCCGCGTGAAGGGACACGAGGTGGCACCCGCCCCCTCCCCCCGGGCCACTGCCGCCACCTTCCTGCGCAAGGACCTGCTCATGGTGCTCCACCACGCCGCCATGGTCCTCGTCTGCTTCCCCGTGGCCACCGTGAGTGGGGACACCTGGGGACACCTGGAGACACTTGGGGACACCTTCGGGGCACTTGGGGACAGCTTGGGGACAAGGGAAAGGGTTGGGGACACGGGGCTGGGGACATGTCACCTTCAGCTGGATGTGCTTCTGGAGGTCCACCAGCCCTTGGTGGCTTCCCCGTGGCCATGGTGGGTGAGGACACCTTGGGGACAGCTTGGGGATACCTTGGGGACACCTTGGGGACAGCTCGGGGACATTGGGTTGGGGACACGGGGATGGGGACACATCACGTGGGCTGGACGTGCTTCTGGAGGTCCACCAGCCCTTGGTGGCTTCCCCGTGGCCATGGTGGGTGAGGACACCTTGGGGACAGCTTGGGGATACCTTGGGGACACCTTGGGGAGTGCTTCGGGACAAGGGAAATGGTTGGGGACACGGGGCTGGGAACATGTCACCTTCAGCTGGACGTGCTTCTGGAGGTCCACCAGCCCTTGGTGGCTTCCCCGTGGCCACCGTGGTTGGGGACACCTTGGAGGGACCTTGGGGACACCTTGGGGACACTTGGGAACAGCTTGAGGACATTGGGATGGGTTGGGGACACAGGGTTGGGGACGTGTCACCTTGGGCTGGACATGCTTTTGGAGGTCCCCTGTTGTCCCGCATGTCCCCTCATGTCCCTTTGTGTCCCCCCATGTCCCCTCGTGTCCCCTCGTGTCCCCTGGTGTCCCCTCACATCCCCTGATGCCCCCTGATGTCCCCGGTGTCCCCGCAGCTCTGGCGACAGGGGAAGGGCGACTTCTTCTTGGGGTGTCTCCTGATGGCCGAGCTCAGCACCCCCTTTGTCTGCCTGGGCAAGGTCCTCATCCTGGTGAGTGACGTCCCCAACGTCCCCAACCCCTCGGGCCACCACCCCCTGGGGCCACCAGCAGAACTTTCGGGGTGGCCCATGGGTCCCCCACCCCCTGGTGACTCCATAATGATGTCGGGTGACCAGCGGTCCCCAACCCTTGTGGCCCCAGGAGAAGATTTGAGGTGCCTGGAGGTCCTTCAAACTCTGGGGAGATGCGAGGAACCCCCAAATCTCCAACTTTTGGGGTCCCCAGAAGAACTTTTGGGGTGTCCATGGGTCCCTCACCCCCTGGGGACTCCAGAATGACGTCAAGCACCCAGCAGCCCCCAGCCCCCTGGTCCCTGGGAGAAGATCTGAGGTTCTTGTAGGTCCTTCAACCCCTGGGGAGATCCGAGCGCCCCAGAGCCCCCAAATTTCTGGTGTCCACCTGTGACCATCTCCAGACCCCACCCCACGTCTGACCCCACCTCTGGCCCCCTAGTCCCTGGGAGAAGATCTGAGGTTCTTGTAGGTCCTTCAACCCCTGGGGAGATCCGAGCGCCCCAGAGCCCCCAAATTTCTGGTGTCCACCTGTGACCATCTCCAGACCCCACCCCACGTCAGACCTCACCTCTGTGTCCTTGGTTCCTAAGAGAAGATCTAAGGTTCTTGTAGGTCCTTCAACCCCTGGGGAGATCCGAGCGCCCCACAGCCCCCAAATTTCAGGTGTCCACCTGTGACCATCTCCAGACCCCACCCCACGTCCAACCTCACTTGTGACGTCACTTCCTCCCCGCAGTATGACCTTCAGCACACGGCTCTCCACAAGCTCAACGGGCTAGTTCTGCTGGTGACCTTCCTGGGCTGCCGAGTTCTGCTCTTCCCCTACCTCTACTGGA